GGAACAACTCCTGATGGTGTTCTGAATATTTTATTTGAAGGAAGTTACGAAGGCCTCAACAATGATCAAATAACTGGGTGGTCTTTCCGCCCTGGTATGGGACACTACCGATGGTTGAGAGGCCCTATCAATCATCTTCGAAGAGAACAGAGATCAGAGTATGTGGCGAATACAATTCGTCGCATCATAGATTTCCTCAACATATGATGACCGCTCCTCGTGGAACTCGTCTCTAGAAGGGGGGGTAATGTCACGGCTATAATCATGTAAGCTAATAATTACATATAGAAATAGGTAGAAGTAAGTAAAAGTAGATAAAAGTAAGTTAATTCTATAATATTTAATATAGAAGCTTCCTAAAAACTTCCTAGACGCTGCTTTGACTTCATAGGTGTCTTTAATTGACTTTTTGGAGTAGAAACGTGGTCAACAAGTTGGCCATGTGCCACACATGTTGTTAGCTTGCAGATCAAGCTAACTATGTGGCCGACACGTAGAAAAACTTGCTTTGTAAGTCAAGGCATGTGTCCTACAAAGTCAACACATATTGGAGGTCCTACAGAACGTCGCCACGTAGCCCCTAGTTAGATAGTATATATAGAGACAAGAGTGAAGGCTTCTTGACTCTTGTCAACTCCTTTCTTGCTTATAGTCTAGTTTCAAGGGTCTCTAGTCTTCTTGTCTTTTGGCAATAGCCATTCCAGTTTCTCTCTCAATATATATACTTGTTTATTTATATTTTGTTACCTCTCTTTGAGTGAAGGCTCACTTGTCTGAATTATTTTTCATCAAGTTCTTGTCCTTGACAATGTCTATTAAAAGGAACAACTACCATTCGACATGGGTGACAAGATATGGTTACTTTGTCGCAATATCAAGACCACTCGTCATTGTGATAAGTTGGATTATCAAAGGCTTGGACCATTTTCTATTTCTGTAGAAATCAATCCAGTTGCATATCATTTACACCTATCAGAGTCAATGAAAATACATCCAGTATTCTAAGTGTCTCTTCTTGAAGCATACTAGACAGTGGACATAGCAGAAAGAAGACAAGTTCCACCTTCTTCTATAGAAGTGAACAATAATGAAGAGTTTAAAGTGAAAGAAGTCCTAGATTTCAGGCGACATCGAAATAAATTAGAATATCTTGTTCATTGGCACAAATATGATATTAATAAATGCACATAGGAGCCAATAAAAAATCTTGCAATTACAGAAAAGGCGGCGGAGGCTTTTTATTGACGACATCTATCAAAATCAAGATGAAAACCTTCTTTATAAAAGAAACAAGATCTAAACACAATAACATTTTACTTTCAATCCTTATTTGTAGCTTCTTCGTAGTTGTAATGCTTAAGAGATGGAAAACCAACAACCAACGGATTTGACTCAAGAACCTTCATTTGCTGACCTACCAGATGAGACATTACAATTGTCACAACTTTCAAGACGACGCAATCAGGATGAAGATCCTCAAGAATGACATGTTCTATCTTGAATAGATGGTGAGATATAATACATTTGGTATCACGACCTTGGAAAGGATTCGAGATGTTTGGTGATTTTACTAAAAGAAGGAACAACTCCTGACAGTATTTCAAATGTTTTATTTGAAAGAAGTTATCAAGGCCTCAACAATGATGAAATAATTGGGTGGTCTTCTCGCCTTGGTATGGGATACTATCAATGATTGAAAGGCCCTATCAATCAACTTCGAAGAGAACAAAGATCAGAGTATGTGGCAAATACAATTTGTCGCATCTTGGACTTCTTCGACATGTGATCACTGCTCCTCGTCGAACTCGTCCCTAGAAGAGAAGATAATGTCATGGACATATATTTACTGTAATTGTTACCTAAGTAATATGAATAGGTAGAAGTAAGTAAAAGTATATTAATTTCAGAATATCTTCTAGATAAGCTTCCTAAAAGCTTCATAGACGCTGCTTTGACTTTACATGTGTTTATACTTGATTAATAGATTAGAAACTTGATCAACAAATTAACCACGTACCACATATGTTGGTAGCTGGCGGAACAAGCTCACTATGTGGCGCCCATATAGAAAACTTGCCTTGCAAGTTAAAATACGTGTTGTGTAAAGTCAACACGTTTTTGGAGGTCCTATAGAACGTTGCCACATAGCTCCTAGGTAGATAGTATATATAGAGGCAAGAGTGAAGTCTTCTTTACTCTTGTCAACTCCTTTCTTGCTTCTAGTCTAGTTTCAAGGGCCTCTAGTTTTCTTGTCTTTTGGCAATAGCCATTCCTGTTTCTTTCTTAATATACATATTTAGTTATTTCTATTTTTTCATCTTTCTTTGAAAAAAGTCTCACTTGTTTATTTGTTTTTATCAAGTTCTTGTCCTTCACAGCCATGTAGCTAAAGTACGCTGGCAAAGTAAATTTGCTTGAAATCTTTTGTAAATGTAATCTTTAATACACTTAAAGATAATGTGGCCATTGTTAAAACAACATCAATAGATTGCATATCCTTAGGCATGTGTAAATCAATCTAAGCATTTCTTTATGTCATCTAATATGTCAAATGACTTCTTTTGTAGAAGGTCTATATTGAGTACATTTTTTTGTTTTAGAATAGAATAATTCTAAAATGGCCATTGCCTTCCTTCTTAGATGAAAGATTTAACAATAGAAAATTGTAAAATCAAGATTAAGTAAGTGGAATAAGGTAAAAATGAATTATATAAATTTAAAGTGGCAATGAAGTAATAATATGAATGTTATAAACATATTATACTCCATTATTATTGTTTAGTATGGCCTTCAACTTTGAAGTGTTTTATTTATTATGTTTCTATGGATGTGATATTTTCACATATATACTAACTATGATTAATCAAATCAATCTTCTAATGATGTTTATAGTAACAAATTGTACCTTAACAATTTATTTCTTAATTTCAAATTCTTATGGATATTACTTTTATCAAATAATGAGATACTTTTTCATAATCCTAATGATGGATGGATCAAATTAATGACTAACGGTGTCGATTTAACATTCTTCTATATATGTTTGTATTTACACATTTATTTATAAGTAATAAAGATAAATAAATATTTGTTTATATTAATTAAAAGGTGATAATTTATTAATTAAATAATTAAAAACTATATATAATATATGTTATTTATAAGTATTTTTATTTAATTATTAATAAATAAATATAATAGTTTGAATATTAGTAAAGATAATATTTGATTGTAATAATTATTTTAAAAGGATTTTTATTTTTTTATATAAATATTTTACAACATTGTATTTGTCACCTAATATAAGCCAAAAATAAATAGTTGTATAGATTAATTATTTATACCATGAATAATGTGTTAAAAAAATTGGGTCATTAGCCATTAATTACATATTATAAAACTTTATTTTTAGTATTCTGAAGTGTTTTATAATAAAAAAAATTAATGCATGTGCACAATAAAATTAAAGTAGTAATCATGATGAATAAAAATCATAATTTAAAAATATTATATATGCATGTGTATATATATAACTTCATACATAAATAGTAATTTTATTAATAAATAGTAATTTTAATTTTAAAAATAAATTAATTAATTAATAAATAGATCTCATCTAAATAATATTATCATGAAAAGATAAATTTAATAAGAAATTATCATTTCTAAATAAAGTAAAATACATATTAGTAAAAGAACATTAGAAAATTTATTTAAAAAAATTCTCATATACGAATAAATGATAGAAAATAACATAGAGCTTAGTAAAATCAACTTAAACCTTGAAATTTTAATTTAATGTTAATGAAATCAATGTAAGAAAAAAAATAATAAAAAATGATACCATGTATTATATATATATATATATATATATATATATATATATCATTAAAATATTATTAATTATATGATGAAAATGTAAATAGAACAGATTTGCAAAGCCAAAAACAATTAGTTTTAAAAGATGGAGAACAATTGCTGTTTACTATGCTCTAATTTTTTATTTATTTTTTGATTATCCACCTACAAGATACAAGGTTCTAAAATTTTAAAATAGAAAACTTTTAATAATATACAATAACTTGTTATTCTGTTTTTTAAGTTCATACTTGATTTGTGGATTTCTTAGAATAATTATGTTTGATGGAGAACAACTTCTTTAAAATTGTTAATTTACATTTATGGTTGAATCTATTTTATTAAGTTAGCTCTATTATGTTTAGAATGTTATTTATTTGTAATATTTATACATGTATAAAATTATAATAATCATATATAGATACTTTAGCAGATAAAAAACGTGTTAAATTTTAACATCAAATTACTTCAAGTTGCATTCGTGCATAGATTATTTATGCTTGAATGAATGAATTATAGATGTACGTACATAAATGTATACATGAAATAATAATTTGGTTTTAAAATTTGATTAACATTATTTATTAACATTTCTTTGGTTATAGCTTTAATATCATGACTGTCATGAGAAATAGTACTACAAGAGTAAATAATAGTAAAAATATTAATGAAAAGATTATATTGAACTATAGTTAGAACTTTAAACATAGTACAAATTACATACATTGCACTTTTGATGTAATCCATTCAAGTGGATTTCTAATTTCTCTGTACTTACAGTGCACAACGGATGACTAATATTTCGTGCACATGGATAACATATTCTGATTATGACTCCAACATGACAAGTTTATTAATGGCAGTTTACACATAAATTTAGTCGAAGAGTATCTGAATATGCCATAGGCACGTGGATATTTTTACAACTTTTACCAGCAACATTGCTTCACCAGTTCATGTCATTAGAGTACAAACGAAAGAACTGTTCGTTTTAGAAACCAGTTTTATAATTCTTGCCCCACCTGTTTATCTTGTTACATCATCAAGGTTTTAAGTTCGTGCCCAACAATTTAAAAAAACGATTCCTACTTCATTAGCTCTAATTTCTGCCACTCTGCCACCGTCACTTGATTGCACTGAAGTTCCCAGTTTTAAAAAAGTTTGAACTTTTTATTTATTTTTTTTCCATTTTGATAAGCTATGACTTGCCACGCACACGAATCCCTACTTTGTTTCACGGCACCGCCTAATACCTGTGGAATCACATAAACATCCCCAACAATGAAGGCACAGAAGTTATGCTATTTTTTCTATCTGATAGTGGTGTTGAGCTTCAAATCCCTGAGAGGCCCACGTTGGTGGGCGTTGAAGCTGGACCTCGGAGGGGATGGGCCTCTACAGCCAGGAGCTGGAGACTGGCCACATCGCTTCGCAGGACTCACGCCTCGTGAGGCCAACACCTTCTTCGTCGTCGTCGTAGCAGAACCCACAGTCACACCCGCACACAAGTTCTCTGCATTTTCGATGAACACATTGGTACTGCGAGTAGGACTGGGCTTTCGAACGGGAGTTCTGGTGGCTACTCTGTCAACCGAGATCGACCTCCCCCTTTCAAACCTGCTACTTGTTGATACTACGGCTCTGGGAGCTACGCTACTTTTGGGCCCGTCAGTTGAGCGTGCCGGATGCAAAGAAGCGGTCTCAAATTTCTGCCTCACCTGGGGTGATTCACAGGTTGGTCTGGAGGTTGGTCGATGTGGACTAGGAAGTCGGGATGGGGCGTGGACAGTTCTGTCCAGACTAGATGGCTCCGAGACGCGACTCCGTTGCAGGTTTTGTTTTGTCGATGTGCAGAAGTCAGCACAGCGTTTGCTCCCCTCGAGTTGGTCCTTCATGACGCTGCACCTGCAACTCTCTGGAGTGCTACTGTTGGCTATGGGCTGCAAAATTACTGTGTAGCCAAGGTTGTTTGGGGCGCCGAAACCACTGCCCATGTCTAACCACCGGCTTTGCTCAAGGGCATGTCTTTGCTTGACCCCTTCTATTGTTTCTTGAAGCTGCGTCAACTCTGCTTCTAACTTTATAATCTTTAGTTGCGCTGTTTGCGCTTTAGCACGCCATTCTTCCCTCTGTTTAATTAATAAGAAGCAAACCTTCAGTCCCCGGTTAAAATTGCAAGTACACATGCTGATATGTGACTCTGGATGTGCTAAATCTCTACCCAAGAAGACCTATGCGAACTTCAGTATAGTCCGAGTCTTTTATCACCATCGTAAAAGGCGTTAGCGGTTGAAACGATTTGCACATGCCACGAAGTTTTAACCGTATGATTTGGACAGTTACCTCTCGTTGCCTGGCAGTGGCAAGATGTTCGGCGTCGAGAGCGCGCTTTTCCCATCTCAAGCATGCCTGCTGTACAGTTGCCATTTCTACGCTAACATTTTTCAAAACTTCCTGAACCTGTTTCCATTGCTCGGCTTCAGCATTTATCTGCAAAATATTTTTGTCACGTGCTTCAGCCTCATCGAAACTGTCAGAATTTTGAAGACTGATGGATATACTACATTTAGGAGTTCTGAGAAAACGAGAAATCCACACACCTGAGCAAGAATCTCACGGACTGTTTCTTTGGTTTGCTTTTGCTTGGCAAGCTCCTCTTCCAAAATGCAACACTCCTCCTGTTGTATCAGTTACGGCAGTTGTTAGTAATACCCCTGCCACATCTTTCCCATATGTCAGGAACATGAGCATAGCCAATCATATGAGTTATGTCAACAAGTATTAGTTCGAAATTACTTCGACCACAATTCTGCGATGACTTACCGCCTCTTTGAGAAGGCGATAAACTGCATCATTTGCGCTTGCTGACAGAGGACACCTGTCGGATTCGTCCGCTCCATGCTCTTGGTCGACAGATTGCTGATACAATTCAGAGCATGATCAGACGTACGCGGTAAATCCAATATAACTAAATGAACAAGCAAAAATTGCTGGAAAACCTGAATCAGAACTTCGAATGTTGGGCGGAGGGTCAACTGAAGAAAACTACGATGTCATGAAGAATCCAGCTGTGGGTTTAAATCTCACTTGATCACTTTGAAGTGTCTCGGGGTCGCTTTCTTCTGGAGAGCTCGGGTTCGTGTAGGGGAATTGTGATCTCTGCTGCAGCAACTCAATTCTTTTGTGCAAAGCTTCTGCCTGGCTTTCGAGGTCGACGTGTGAACTCATCTTCATTTCTTTCGTGCGCATAGCCGAGTTAGCTTTCAGTCTTCGGAGTCTTTCATCTAGACCGTGACTCTGCCCTTCCTTGGACACTTGTCTGCGAGGAGTGCAAGGTGCTGAAAGTGATTCTCGTCTTCTGTCCTGCAATGTAAAAGATGCAGAATGAGAATCAATATGTACGTGAAAGAAGTAAACTTCGTATACTGGAAATATATTGTTAATGGTAAGATCCACTTATCAGCGAAGGCAGGTGTTCCTGCGTACTACCGTCCAGACGAGCAGAACATGGGTAATCTTTTCTAGTGAGCATCGATGAAAACTAAGTGTAATAAGCATTGGACTCTACTGCAAATTCAACAGATCATGAACAACCTCAATTTACATGACGGATTGCGAATGTTACAGCTCAAGAAGGATAACTAAGTAGAACATTGCCAACTATCAGCCTGAGATACAACAGCAGACGGGTCAACGACAAATATTTACTATACGCGATTGGTAAGTAAACAAATTCCATGCAGAATATTTGAGGGAGAAAGTGTGTGATCTGTTTACAGGCTCAAGGATGGATTCTACAGCAACTCGAAGCGAATGTGCCATTTGGGCGGCGGCCACCATATCTGCGCATCCTTCTTCCCACCGCTGTCTAGCTACCTCTTTCTCCATCCTCAACACATCACATTTGGCCTTCAAGACTGCTGTTTGCTTCCGCCAGCCTTCCTTCCTGCCCTTGCGACCAGGTCTGACCTCTCTGGATACAAAGCCTGACGTGACCTTTGAGCAATTGCTGTCGTTGGGGACCTTCGGCGAGGTAGTTAGTGGGGCCTGATGGGTAGTAATGAACACCTGAATCTCTGGTGCATTCATCTCGAGATGAGACGTATCCACATCAAAATTGCATGACTCCTCGTCCGTGGAGAGGAATCTATGCAGATCATCCTCCCCAATATTCACAGAATCGGAGAGCTCATCTATGGGAACCCACGGGGACATCCCAGAGCCGGTGTCAGCAGACTTATCTTCCAGCTCCTCACAACGAATTCGCATTGCTGCAAATCCTAAGATGCCACAGTCGCCCGATGAATTCGATCGTGTAGTCGTGATCACCTTCTTGCAGAGGTTAGGGTGGGACTCGGACAGGTCAGCAACTATCACTGAAGTATTGGTTCAGGGTCGTTCGAGTAAATTTTCCACCGCCCTAACACAGGTTTCGTACTCTTTCACATTCTTCAGAAGTGGAACGCAAGCCAGAAAACTGACTGGTGTAGGTAGTGGCATTTTCGTGAACCCACTAAATAACTAGTACTCTTACAACCTCGTACGATATCTGCTGCCAAGTGGATCAACAATCCAAATTATTCTAATTAGTCTCATGACAAGCGGCAGCACGATCCTTGAATCTATTCTCATTGTTCCAAGACACTAGGAATCTCCTACAATCAAAAGTACGTTGATCATAGAAGCAAGCCTACGTGTACAAGACGACGAGCAGGTAGTTAAATGCAAATGTTCAAACAATGCTGTGAGGATGTAACACTCATTGCAATTACGCATCCTGAGCTCCCATGGTCACCTAAGATAGACAGGTCAGCGGGACCCACCTAGTATTCAGCCTAAGTTAGATCGACGAGAAGACAGGGAAACTGATAGGCGATACGCTTCAGCCTCAGAAACATTAGAAGATAGATTTCTGTGTTACTGAAGACTCATAGTTAAAAAACATAAATGCAAGAATGCATTCCGCGGTGCATTCGACGTATTGCGTATACGGCGAACGAACAGAGTTCGTGGGTGCGAAAATGTGATTTGAATTCGCACAGTACCAACCGAGATGCGTAAAAGCAACCGTGGCAAACTTTACGCGGGTTATTCCGTAGACGAGGAAAGACGAGGTGTTTCGTATCGAGTAGATGTGCACATCGTTTCAAACTGCAGGCTAAAGAGTACTAGTGTATCAAGACAGGGTCCCAGCAAGGTCCAAAGGCTGCATTAGCAGCGACTGGAGAAGGAAAAAGGGAAGAAACCTGGGCAACGCAAGGAACTATTTTTCCTTTGGGATCTAGGTGGCCCAAACTGGTGAGTCTTGGAAATTTTAGAGCAAACCCCAGATTTCAGAGAGACATTCATATCTTAAGAAGCTACAGCAGTCGCCTAGTAACTTAAGACAGTGCAGAATAGGGACAATTACCCAGAAGTCACAGGGTTGAACATTATGCAGCTGGCGGACTCTTATCTTGTTCGGAAGTGACAGGCATAAACCTTGAAACTACCACAGTAACTGTGGAGCAATTCGAATATGGTTCTCGAAGAAGGAGCCAAGATAAAGAGTGACCAACTTCAACCAATGCAGCGAGCTACCCGGCCCTCTACACAGTACTTACGGACAGAAGAAATGAAAGGAAGGCAGTCGTCATAACTCACACCATTGCTCCAAACTACAGCCCATTCCCCTGTCTTAGAATAGAAAGCGCATCTCTCAGCCCACTCAATAAACCACGGAGCAGCATCAGAACAACGAAGAAAGCCGCCATCTACCTCAACCACTTCCACTTCCTCACAATTACGGACCATCACATGGCAATAAGAGAAACCTGTTTTCTACTTCTTCCAAACTCCAATAAGCATGATGCCAAAATTAAGTTAGTCCAAGCAAACCCTCCTTGCTTTCACTACGAGGACACCTAGGAGTGAAGTAGGTACAAGAGAGGCACCTCCACTGCACAAAAACAAAAACCCACGAGCCGAAAATAGCGCATCGCTGATCGCAACTAAAAACAGACCGCAGGGAAGAATCCGCTCTGTGGAGGAGCCATACCAAAAGGAGGAAAAGAGACGGGAAGTCCTGGGTCCCAGCTGGAGAAGCGGCTGCTGCGTGCGGGAATGAATGAGGCCCTGAAATGGAGGGGATGGGGTTGCGGGGCGATGATGGCGATGCTGAGGGATCATATACCATCACCGTTACGACTCCGTTGCCCTTTGAATTTCGGGGTCGGAGTTGGTTGGTCGGGGACAGGTTGTTGACGGGGCCGTGTCGGTGGCAACGGCTCTTTCCGTGGCTGTGGCGCTCGGGGTCTCGCGACCGCGGCACGACATCGCCGTCGTCGCTGGCAGAGCTGGTTTCAAAATGCTCAACGGTTTGCCTGCTCGCCGCAACTACGGCCGCTGACGCTGACGCTGCTAACGCTCGTAGTCTGCGCTCTTGGTGACGAAGCGTCTTCCTCAGCGTTCGCGTCCACTGAGCCCCCGCCGCCGTTCACCTTGAGTGCGTGAAGCATGCTAAGAGTTGTGTCAGTCGCCGTTTAGTTTGCGAAGATCCCCCTCGAGTTAGTCAGTACCTTCTTGCATGTGTGTATGTGTGGATATATATATATATATATATATGTGTGTGTGTGTGTGTCATGTGTAAATAGTGTTAGTAAATAAATTATATATATATATATATATATATATATACAAATTGAATATTTAAAAAGAATCATATGTTATATTAATTTTATTTTATTTTTTATTAAGTTTGATATTTAATGTGATAATTTTTTATTAAGTTTAATATTTTTTGGAATACATGTAAAGTTTATTGGTGTATATTAATTTATGTATATTTTTTGAATTAAATTAATAATGAAATTGACAAGTTTACAAGAAAATAAAAAATAAAAAACAACCTTTATTTGATTACAAAGAATTAATAACTATTATAATATGTGACTAACTTGCAAGATATATGTATAACTTGCAAGACAAGTTTCTTATATATGCATCACATGGCCAACTTATACCACAGGTGGTCAATATATACAAAATATGGCCAAGTTGATGGCCAAGTTTTCAATCTACTAATTACTTGTAAACATATATAAAATCAAATATGTGTCTATAAAACTTCTTTACAAGATATTAAGTAATTTATCTATTTTTACTTCTACTTAATTCCACTTATATAGGTAACTATTGGTATCTATTATGTCGATAACAGTGAAGCAATATATAATAAAAATATCTTATTATTTATAGAAATAAATGTTATAATATTATTTTTTATCTACTCAAAATGATATATACAAAAGAAGAAGAAGAAAAGATCATTAAAGACTTGAGGCAAGAATAAATAAAATTCTTTTAAAATAAATAATAAAATTTAATTGAAAAAAATTATCTTAAATAAAGTGTTGTCATAAGATATACAAAAGTCAACTTTTGAAAGTAACATTGCTATTCTTATAGAAGTAGGCAATAATGAAGTTTAATTTGTATGTCAAGAAGTTTTGTAATTGAGAGAAATAAGTATAAATAGATCAAATAAATATTATTCTTAAAAAAGATTTAAGTAGCTCTAATTGAAGTTATTGATGAATACCTAATTATATTTAGAAATATAAAAGAAGAAATCAAGCCATTGAAAGTAGCATTATTGTATGGTAAAAATATTATATGATAAAAATAAAAATATAGATGTTATTATAGAAGAGCCTAATAGAAAGATGTAATAGAAAAAACAAGGATTAATGATAGGAAGGTAGTAAATGTTTTAGACTTAATAGTATCTTTTATAGAAAAGACTTCTATTTATTTTTTAAGAATATAAATACTTAAAATTAAGTAAATTAAATAAAAAATAATATAGACATCTTTAAAAAATTTTAATAATAGGTTTAAGCAAAAATTACCTCAAATTATCAAAAATTGATACTCAACAAGGATTAATTGTGAACCTAAGTTGAAATCAGACATTGAGACATAAAATCATGCACCTATTTCAATTTTGGGATTTTTTTGTCAATTAAAGAGTGGAATTAGAGAGTACACTTGTAAAGAGATTTTTGAAGGTTGATTTCGTATTATGTAGATTATTATTGAAGTTTGGAGAGATTTTCAAAGTTAATAGTGTAATTGGTGGCTTTAGATTTTGAGAAATAAAAATAAGTATAAAAATTTGAGGATTTTGTGACTTTTATAGCATATTTATAAATAAAAATTAGAAATTTTTTATTGTCCTTGTTGTAAATGTATGTGAAAAATTTATAATCAATCAAGTGATTAGAGTAAAGGTTATTAGAATTTTTGTAGGCTAAGATCTTAGTATCAAGGACATAAATCTCAAAGAAATAAAACTCAATGTACTCTTATGTGACTTGAAAAGATTAGTAAGTCACCTAAGATGGTAATACATTGAACTAAAATGGCTACTACCAAAGATAAGAAGATTAAAAAGTCTTGAAACAAGACTAAAGACTAGAAAAGCGTTGATAAGAGTGAAAAAGATTTTACTCTTATCTCCATATATGCTCTCTAAGGAGAAGGTATGCGGCAATGTTCTATAGGATCTTTAACATGTAGTGATTTTGTTAGACATGTGTCTTATCTTGCAAAGCAAGTTTCCTGTATGTGTGCTACAAAGTTAGCTTGTTCCATAAGCTATTAATACATATGACATGTAGATAGCTTATTAAACAAATTTCTAACCTATCACGGAAATACATATTTATCTTGATAATAATCTAGATAATAAGAATAGGTAGAAGTAATTCAAAGTAGATAAATATGATAATATCTTGTAGAAAGCTTCTTAGAAGCTTTATAGATGTTGTTTTGCCTTTATACATGTCTATAAGTGATTGGTAGGTTGAAAACTTGGCCAACAGGGAGGCCACGTGTTGAGATGTTCACCACTTGTAGTATAAGTTGGACATATGGCGTACACCTAAGAAACTTACCTTGCAAATTAGATATGTATCTTGCATGTTAGATGCATATTAGAAGTCCTATAGCATGTTGCCATATAATTTTTAATTAAATAGTATATATAGAAGCAAGAGTGAGGCCTTCCTCACTCTTATCAATTCTTTTTTTGCTTTTAGTCTAGTTTCAAGAGTCTCATGTTTTTTAGTCTTTGGCAATAGCCATTCCAGTTCTTCCTTGAATATACATACTTTTTTCTATATTGTCACTTTCCTTTTCACACAAATTCTATAAGTTTATGTATCTTCTTCTAGTTTGTATCCTTGACAAATTGATAAGAGTGCACATACAATATCAGAGCTTTGTCCTTTTTGATTAAGAGTGGATTACCCCTTTCTCTTGATAAGACATAAGCGTATTAGAAGTTGCGAATTATCCTCTTCTAAACTGATATTGTTTCTAGATTTTTTTTTTCTTGATTCTTGAGTATTGTATTTTGTGAGAATAGACACCTTTCTTTTTATTGTGCTAGTATGGTAGAGCTTGCTAAAATGAAGAGTGAAATAGCTCAAATGTAAGAGCAAATGAGAGAGTTAATACTTACAATGCATCAACTCAGTCTACCACCACAAAGAGCAAGAAGATTATCAAGTAATGAAGATATAGAGATGATTGGAATTGCTTCAACATCTATATCAAGCCATACTACTATTCCTATAATAGAACATCATTCAAGTTTCAAAGAACCAAAAATTTGATTGCTTGAGAAGTTTGATGGTATAAGATCTAAGTTTTGAAGATTCATCAATCAGGTACAATTGGTGATTGAACAACAACTTCAAAGTTATCCAACTCAAAGATCATAAGTTAGGTTTATTGAAACACTACTTTTAAGTTTTACTTTATCATGGTTTTCATCATTTCTTGAATGATGTGATATAATATTGAATAATTTGAAAGTATTTTTAATGGAGTTTTAATCTATATATAGAAGATATGATGAAATCTATATTGTAATCAATAAGATTTGTATCTTGCAACAAAATAATTGATCAGTGACATTACACGCTGTTATATTACATGGTGTTTAGCTTGAGAATGCATCGGGCACTTGGTTGTGGAAGATAAAGGAAAAATTGCAACAACAAATAACCAGTAATAGTAATCGGCTTTGATGACAATAGCCAATAGTAACAACCAATAATCAATAACACTGACCAATAACCAATAGTAGTAGCCAATAAAAAGTAATAGTAGCCAATAATCAATAGCGGTAATTAAAAATCAGTAGCAATAACCAATATCCACAAGCAATAGCCAATATCCAATAGCAAAAACCAATATCTAGTAGCAACAACCAATATTCAGTAGCAATAATCAATTTCTAGTAGTAATAGCCAATATCTAGTATTAATAACCAATATCCAGTAGCAATAACCAATATCTAGTAACAATAACCAATATCTAGTAGCAAAAACCAATATCCTGTAGCAATCACCAATATCCAATAGCAATAACTAATATCCTTTAAATTTACAGAACTTTAGCACTCAATTTCTTTCAATCCAACTGTTAGATTGAGCTCAAAATTTTTGAGGAGGAAGATAATATTCTTAACTTCAAATGGATGATAATCACAATAATTTGCTTGGGTGTGGATTGGCCTTCTCTAATCTGAATGCGGAATTTTCAGCGCCAATTTCTTCTTATTAAACATTTCAATCAATCTCAAAATTTTTACATACAAACAAAAATAAGTCTACTACTCAAACACACAACTTCTACTCTAATCTAACTAGTAAGAAATCTTAAAACCCTCACTGGACCTAAAATTCTACTTTTTGAGACCTTGAACTACTTAAACCTCAATAATCCTCAATTCAACTATTAAATCTAGCTAAAATTTACAACACATATTAAGCACAATTATAACCATTAATCCACAAAATTTCACTTATAGATCTATCACAAAGCTCTTAAAATTACCTAAAATATCAATCCTATTTTATTTCACAAAACTCAAGTCATTTGAAAACAAATTTGATTTTGTAAAGCTCTTACAAAGTCATTATGAATCCAAATCACACAAAAATAACACTCATAGAAATCTTATTCAATTTTATATCAAATCCCAATCTTTGATGTTGTATTACTTATTGTCTTGCTTAGGAATGCACCAGGTACCTAACTATGGAAGGTGAGATTGTGTTTCACAAGTAGCCAAGAAACCCTAATAGATTTCAAC